GTGTTCTTTTTGAAGCTAACAATTCTTTTTATTTGAAAGTTACCTGTTTGTGGTTTGTTTATATCTTTCTTGTCTTGTTGGTTGAATTATTGCATTTGTTCTGTTGCGCACTATTGGGTTGAATGGAATGAAATGAAATAAAATAATTATTTTTTAAACTTTATTATGAAATGATTATTTTCTTATAATAATAAATGACGATTCTATTTACAATATATATTTCATTAATTTTTTCATCAATTAAACATAAAAATGGATAATTTGATGGAATAATTATTTCATTCCATTTCATTTTAGTGAACCAAACAATAGTCATCCTCTTATCCTTATTTTTATCACTTAATTTTTTTATTTTATAAATGATATATACATAAAGTTTTATAAAATAAATAGTTCATATTATCAAAATTAGATTTGGACAATACCTCAAATCTAAATTTTAGATTGAAGGCAAGCCTAATTATATATATACACCTTTTTTTAAGAACCAAAGGGACAACATATTATGTGCTACCAGCCCATTACTGGGGATCTTTTGTCCGCTTCAAAAAAACTAGCATAGCCCATGTTTATCATGCTTAACTAATATTTGAAGATTAAATTTTGAATGTTACACAAATCGGGCCGGGCCCGCGAAAGGAATCCAAACATATAATACTGTCCTGTCTTATTATGAGGGCCAGGTGGACAAATTGTAATCTCTAAACTTGGAGGAGCAAGGACCATTCTTTGGCTCTTTATTTGGTGGGTTATGGGGCTCACTTTTGGGTCTGATTTTGATAATTTGAGTTATTTATATTTTAAGATTTGTTATATATATCATATTTGTGAAAAATCAAATTGATTGGATATCAGAAGAATTAAAAATCGTTTATTAAAAAAAATTTAATAAACAGTTTTATTGTTTGATAAAACTTTTAGTTCACGTAGTTTTCGATATTCGATCTACTTGATTTTTTACAAATATGATATACATGACAAATTTTAAAATGTGAATAATTTGAATTATCGAAGTTGGGCCCAAAAGTGGACCCAATGGCCCACCAAGTAAAAAGCCGAAGAGGGGATCCAAGAAAGGATCCTTGCTCAACTTGGAGGCATGCACCATTATTTTTTATTATTATTATTATTTATTGCATGAGTAAATTACAAATACACTTCATGAATTTTACTTAAAATATGAATTGTTGTCTATAGTTTGAAAAATTACAAATAGCTTCCTTTCAAAAAATTTTATTTAACAAAATTAATTGAAAAAGTGAAATTTCTAACTGTTCATCTAAACAATAATAAAATTATTTGAATTATTAATTGAAATAAAATTTTAACATTATTACAAACTGTTAATTAACTTAATGATTTATTAATAAAATGACCTATTTGTTATGAAATTATAAACTTTAGGGGGTATAATATAATTTCTAGAATTACAGGAATAATTTATAATTTAAATAAATCTTAAGAAGTGTATTTGTAATTGAGTATGGCTTCTGTACTGGACCGTGTTGTTGGGCCCGTGGGGGCCACCACGGGTCCCGTTTTGATAATCTGAACCTTCAATGTGTAGAACTTGTCGAGTACTATATGCCTATAAAAAATCATGTTGATCGAATATCGATAGCTATATAATCAAATCAGTTTCGTATTAAAAAAATTGGATGGTGAACAAATTAAAGGTTGACAAAAAACTATTTTGATCACATAGTTATCGATATCCGATCAACGTGATTTTTTACAGGCATATAATACTCGACGATTTCTACATATTGATGGTTCAAATTATTAAAACAGAACCCGTGGTGAGCCCTCACGGGCCCAACAGCACGGACCAGTCCGATCCCGAACTGGTCCGATCCCGGACTGAACAGAAGCCACCCCCTTTGTAATTTACGCATATTACATTTTCATTTTATTACAAAACTTGAATTTTGAACCCATCATTAGTCTTCTAAACCTTAACTCTAACCTTATCCCATCCTTACTCTCTAGCCACCAGCTTCGGTAACCACCCCCCATTTCTAGCATCAACAAACTTTCCCACCCGTACTCGCCCTTCACTAACCTATCCCTTCTCTACTCACACACATCTTTCCCCATCCTCTAATCCTTCCTAATGACCCCCACCGCTTCCTCACTTCTCAGCTAACCTTTACAGAGAGAGAGAAAAAGAGTGAATGATTGCTCTAAAGCGAGGAAGAGTAGGAAGTAAGGGGAGGGTTAGTGTTTGAAATAGTGGAAGGTAATACTTGTATAAAGTGGGGTGTTCAAAAGAAAAATAAGTAGTTTTAAAATTTGTAAGTGGATCCGAAGAAATTGAGTGGGCTATTAGCTCCTGAACCTATGTTCATTTGATTTTTATTAGGGGTGGGCAAACGTCGGGTCAGATTAGGTTAGCACTACATAATAAAAGATTTTATGTCTATCTAAATTCGGCGCTAGTCCTAACATCGGACCTCTATATGTGCGTAAGTCTGGTTTAAAAATTAATTATAAATCTTAAATCCATCCATCGGACTATATGTTTAAAAAAATTAAAACATTCCATAATTAATTACAATCACGCATTATATTTTTTAAATAAATATATTGACATTATTATAAATTAAAAGATTTTGTATATAAATTAAATAATTTTTCTTAAATAAATTCAATCACACATTACCACATATGTGAGTTTCAATAAAATCAATAAAGATAAACAAAAAATAAATATTTTAATGTATTGTAAATAAATAAATAAATAATTTAATAGCATGTCAGACTAGTTTGAAAGTATAAGGCCCTGTTTGTTTTCAGAGATAGAATGGAGGGGATTCGTAGTGAGAGGATTAATAGTGAGGGGATTGATAGTGAGGAATTGTTAAATTATTTTTATATAAAATAATAAAATAAATAAATAAATATAAAAAATTAAACATTATATTTAAAAAAAATTCCCAATATATAAAAAATAAAAAAAAATTCTAATCCCCTCACTATTTTTCTAATACCATCTCTACCTCCTCCTTACCAATCCCCCTTCCTCCTTCTTACTAATACCAAGGGATTACTAATCCCCTCCCTATCTCTCAAAACAAACACCCCATTCTCAATTCGCTCCCCACTATCAAACCCAATCCCCTCCCTATAACCCCAAACAAACGGGACCTAAATTCCTAATCCAGCCTATTAATATGTTGGATTAAAAATGTTGGCTCAGTTTATTCTTATAAGCTAAAATAATTTTTCCAAACTTAAAAAAAATGAGACTAACCCGAGTGAGTGGGTTGAGCGGGCTAAGAGGCCTATATCCAGCCCTAATCTCTATACATATAGTCAAATGAGAAGATGACCCAGTAACATGTAAGTCTGAGTACATATATAGTCTATTTGCATTCAAGGCTCACAAAGGCCAACCCAAATTGGTCTACTGGCCCACCTCTGTCTCTCTCTCCATTGAAGAGGGGGGAGGGTATAAGATATTTTTAAAAATGCTTTATGATTAGTCACATGACAATGAACAGAACCCACTAAAACTACCTATCGATCTAAGGCCAAAAGCAACACTCACTTTACTTGCTACTAGTAAGCAACTAACTAAAATAGGAAAATGGGTGGACAGTTGAGACTTATGATCATTGAGAACCCTAGACCCCAAAACACACTTAAACCCTACCTTTTTATCTTTATTTCAAGATTTCCGTGACTCTCTCTCTCTCTCTCTCTCTCTCTCTCTCTCTCTTCCATGCATGTTTATCTCTTCCATTGAAGGTGTGTCAGCCAAAGGATAGTTATATGGTTAGACTGGACTATCCGTGAAAGCAAAATCAACTTGCATGAAATCACTACTTGTTCTTGATTCTTGAACACATACATATAATAATTGTTTAAAAGAAATTGAAAATGATATTCAACTAACCAAATTAATAGTGAGTATAGTATTGTTCCTTCCCTGCCATACATATTTATGTGTTCCAATATGGTTCCATGTAAAGATTAATCCTTCCTAGACATGATATCCATGCCCCTTTTTTGGTTTTGGTATAGATATTCAAAACTGTTTTTTTTTTTTTTCAAATAAAATAAATAAATAAAATATTTTATATTATAGTATTAGTGCTATACTCTATACTAATTTTTTTTATGAGAATATTCTGGACATAGAATCAGTTACTTGATTAATTATTTGGATGTTTCAAAAACAACAGGACCAGTGGTCCAAAATTAATCTCATCCACATATTAATTTTTTTGTATGCAATAAATTTGAAGAGTATTGTTATTCAAACTTAAAAATTAGACCTACTTTCTATATCTAATGATGTAGCACTCTATGAAAATATTTAAGTCAACTTTCTCTCTCTCACATTTATTCTCTAATTATCAATCAATCATTTTATTAACGCATCACTAAGTTTAAAAATTAAATCTAAAAAATAGATTTGTATATCAATTTTCAAATTTGAATGATACCAATTTTGAGAAAAAATGAAAATTTAATTTGAGATTCTCATGATTCTAGCATTTCATACCAATGGGAATAGGAAAGTGATTTGTGATTAATTATTACAACTGAAATCATATTCTCAAACAAAGTACTAATCTGATTTTTTCACTTTTCTATGCAAATCTCACGTATTGGGTCCACAATATTTAAATATTTAACATTTTCCCGTAAAGGATTCTTCACAAAACCAAACATTTAAACAATATTCACATGAATTTCATTGGCACTAATTGGATTCCTAGTAATTAATATTCTTATTTCCCCCAACATTGTTGTTATTCCGACATACTAGCATTAATCAAGACCCCCCTAAAAAAATAATAAATAAATAAAATAAATAAGAAAAGAAAAAGGTATTGCATTTCTTTTTAAATCTTCATGCAAAATCTAGGAGATTCAAGACCATTCATATGCACTCTTAACAATAGCGACATGAGAGTTTCCTTGGTCCACAAACTATCCTAATTGTCTTCTAAAGCAAGGACGTGAACCACTATAAATTAGGTCACATATCTTACGTTCTTCTACAACCATCAAGTTCTTGCAACAAAAGCACTTTCAAGTTCTCCAACACACTTTCTTTCAAATTATTTCCAAATTTCTCATTTTTAAGCTCATGGCACCCCATGGAGAGGCCATTGTCACCTCGTACTCTAGGACCAACAACATGCCCTCCAACAAGCCTCCCAGGCTCTCCACCGATGGCATTCAGCGATCAAAATCCGACATTTCGTTCCAACTTTGCAAAGAAGACATGGATGTTACACTCCCACCAATATCCGAGGTTGTAGATGCCAAATGTGAGTGTTGTGGCATGTGTGAGGAGTGCACACCGGAGTACATAGACAAGGTGAGGAGCAAGTTCTCAGGGAAGTGGATATGTGGGCTTTGCTCCGAAGCTGTAAAGGAAGAGGTGGGAAAGAATGGAGGGAAAAGTGAGGAGGCTTTGAGTGCTCATATGAGTGCTTGTGTCAGGTTTAACAAGCTTGGTAGGGCTTATCCAATTTTGTACCAAGCTGAGGCGATGAGAGAGATTTTGAAGAAGAGCGTGAGGTTGGATGGGAGAGGCAGTCGATCAAAATCTATCAGTCCTAGGGACAAAGGTGGGGTGAAGAGTGGCGGGATTACTAGGAGCTCGAGTTGCATTTCTGCAATTACAAGAGAGATGAGTGATCTCACATTTTCCAAATGAGTCTTGAACTACCCATTAGGGATAAGAACATAGTTTTATTTTACATTTTAACCGTCTAGAAATGATTAATTAGCATGGGATTCTCCGTTATCTTAAATTTCTCTGTTCTTATATCCTAATGCACTTCCAATCTTAGTAGGTTCATTTCTTGAGATTCCATCAAAACAAAAGGATTTGTTGCTACCTTTTTACCCTTTAGGGTTTTTTTTAGGGTTGCTCCAAATTCTAATACCCATTTTTTCACCCATGGGGTTTTTCCTTGCCTCAGTTGACTACTACACATAGTTGCATTTGCCCACTAGGGTTTTGAGTCAGTAAGTCTTGCACAACCATCCTCGCCTTAATTTCTTTAGATATTATGTATTTGTTCTATTTCTATGATTCTAGTCTTGTAAATCTACTTCCTCTCTCTCTCAACCTTGTTGTGTGTGAGTGTTTTTCAAGACCTTGTTTTTATAGATCAAAGAAAAGAAACTGGAAAGGCTATAGAGGCAGAAGGACAACCGGTCTCCAGATTATGACGACAAAGAGACAAAAGATTCAAGGATAGAAGATTTTATAATTAAGTCCAGCATAAGTCCATTACAAATCTTGTATTCCATGCAATTAAGCTATATCTAGAAGTCTTTAGTAGTAAGTTGTAAAGTCCAGCCTCAAGTCATGCTCAAACCATGAGGTCTAATCTAATCTATGGCTTGATTTGTACTCAGTCAATGAATCTGATCTTAATCAAATAAATTTTTAGTTGTAAATTTGTTGTGTTCATTCATGTATTTGCAGAATTCTCTCAATATTTTGCGTTACTGTGTATTGATCGTTGTCCTTCACATAGAATCTTCCATTCTTATCATCTATTTTAAACCACCTCTCTGTCACATAAAAATGTGGTTTTAATTTTAATTATATGATGAAAAAATTATTTGAAATGAGGAAAGAAGATTCAAGGTCGTTTTCTATCAATAGAATGTTCAATGTTTTAATGTTCAGATTTCATATACCAAAAAAATTAAATAAATAAAAACAAAATGTTGCAACTTGAGTAAACCTCATAAAGAACCTTCTAGAAGTTTCAATCAGGTAATTTAAGTCGGTTGTTTTACTTGCACTAAAATTAATCATAAAATTAGATACACTTTTCTCATGTGAGTGTAGAACCTATAAAAAAGTGAGACTCACCTTATATAAGAGATCTATGTCAAATTTTGTGATCAATTTCTGTATTCCTGTTAATTTTTTTGATTTAGATTGTTTAATTTGACAACGTAATACAATTCATATATAATATCACTTCAATAAAAAAAAAATTACAAATAAAATTAAAAGGTACCCACTTGTATCGTTAAATCAACTATGCAATTTCCATTACTGCAATAGAAGATTTCTTAGTAATTAGTGATATCACAGTATAATATCATTATTATACCTCAAATTTACTTTTAGTCCGTACATGCAACACAAACTGGGTTTAATTTTACTTTCTTTTTTTTTTTTATCGGCAAAAAAAAAAATTTATTTAATAAGAATTAAAGATAAATTTTTACATCAAACATCAATAAAGAACAAAATCAGGTGCTATAAACATCAAAGTGAAGGTTATTCATTCTAACTAGGAGGTTTAATTTTCCTTGGTACAAAGCATAACCATACACTGGAATCTCAGTCATTAATTATCATAGATAGTGTCTAATACAACTTAACTCTCAAATCAAAAAATTGTTGTATGTCACCAGATTTTTATCACCGCTCAATCAGATTCTTGTGTTAGTTCCGAAACAAAATATGTTCATATACTGAAATATATATATATATATATATATATAAATTCCGAGGAGACTCATTTAACATAAATCATTAAATGTAAAAATAAAAAATAAAAATAACTTGTACAAATTTAAAAAATAATAATAATTATGAATAATTAATTACCCAAAAACTGAAGCTTTATTTGTTATAATCTAAAAGTCAAAAAATCGCTATCTTATTTAAATCACATCATCTTATTTAAATCACATCATCTTATTTAAAATAGTGTTTGACAAGTGATTTTGAGACTAAAATAACCACAATAAATAAATTATCTTATTTAAATCACATCATCTTATTTAAGATAGTGTTTGACAAGTGATTTTGAGACTAAAATAACCACAATAAATAAAATAGACTATTTTAATCATAACAAGCAAAACATCACATCTAATTCATAATCATTACTCTTCTCTCACAAAAAAAAAAAATCAAAAAAGCCAAAAAACCCTTCCTGAACCAAGCTTTTTAACCTATGCTAAAATAGCCAAAAACAGAGACTAAATCACATCATTTCTCCATCACATCACTTTAAACTCAACCTATACTTAACTCATATTTTATAAAAAGTCAAAAAATACACTTATTTAGATTATCTCCAATCACCTGAATAATTTTTACTTTCTGAAAAAAAAAAAAACTACAGCACCAAAATAGGCCGATTAAGTGATAGCTACCACCCTTTCAGGACACTAAATAAAATGATCCTTTGTTCTTAGTTATATCCGTACTTCTGTCTCAGTACATTTACAGCTTCAAAATGTGATAAAAATCTCAAAACATAAAGGTATGTCTAGAAGCCGATTAAGACCAAGCGATTTGGGGCTAATGAATCTGGTGCCAAAACCACACAAGCTAGAAAAAGTAACAATGCTCCAAGCACCACATCCTATATTATATTTCAAAACACCGACCTAAAACTAATGTCGTTTACTACATAAGATTGATTAGATCGATAAATATTAATAATAAGTCGGAGCACCACATAACAAAAAAACAAAAGGCATAGTATCAGATTCCATGTAGGAAGATCGCCAAAGCACGACCAACAACATGCAATGGGTCCTCATCGGTTCCCCTAGGTTCCACAGCAAACAGTGAGAAGAGTATAGTATTTAAGAGTTCTACAACATAGTACTGAGCCTTACACAAATGACCAATTCATGAACATGAAACAGATGCAATGAGCATTCTCTTCTTCATTCAACACTTTCCAAGCAACTGCTCTCTCATAAGAAACCGGCCTCCCCATGCTTGACAAACATATCCCACCTTGTAGACAAGCAAAACCCTACCAATACACAAAGCCAAAGATAATGTGAAAATCAGTGATATATAGTAGGTACTCAGTGCTTCTACAGAGTATTGAGCCTAATCTAGCCTCTACCCATGCAATGCATGAGCCAGTACATGTTGAAGTTTCCCAGACAGAAAGCCAGAAAAGAGCTTCTAACTTGCCTTAGGCAGGTAACTCCAATTATTTTCTCACAAAACATCTAGGAAAAGTTCTTATTTTACGCTCTGTTCATTTTACATTACATTTAAAAACTTTCTGCATAAAATATTCTTCATAGTAAACATATTTCTATGTTTGGTTGCGATCTTGAAACTAATGTGCTAGTGGATGTATTAGTGGGTGGTGGTGGTGTTAGTAGTAATGAGGTGGCGAGGGTGATGGTGGTGTTGGGTTTGGGATGGTCAAGGTGGCAGCGGCAGTGGTAATCCAAAATGTTTTTCACATTTCATAAGTGGCAAACATTTCGTCCAAGGTTGTTTTTCCTAGGCCATAAAAATGTTAATTTCCACAAAAATATTTTCCATCAAAACAAATGGAGCATAGTTTACTCGAGACAGAACAAATGGGAAACTCTAAATGTATATGGCATACAATTATTATTATTTTTTTAATATTTAGGACATACTAACGCGAACTGGGATTAAAATTTACACCTACCACTCTCTTGGCAGAGGCAAAGTTAATACGTGATTGTGTTTGACATATGGTGAATGCCTCATTAAGTTTGGTTGCTTTCAATAACAGATCCTAGTACAGTTAGCCATCATCTGCTTGATCTCAGTTATTATTTATCCAATTTATTAATTCAAGAGAAAATTGCAAACCTGTTGCATAATTTGTGGAAACTCAGAGCAGAGAGTTTTTCTTCCATGATCATCAAATATCTTCTCCAAAGTAATGTCTTGAAGGGCGACCAAGGTTGTCTCAAGCATGTCAAGACCAGCCTGGTTAGCAAAGGTGAAAACTGGCAATGCCTGCATGTACAGTTAATTGTAAAGATAATGAGCTTGTAGAAGCAGCATAATTAAAAGCTATCTAATTTTTGTATTTTAGGGGTCTAAACTAACTGGGATTTTTAACTGTGACATATCACCCTCTGTTCTGTATTAACTGAGTTTTTTTGTTTTTTGGACAATCGATACAAGGGGAATAGGGGAAGCAAAGCTGCACTCGTGGCAGTAAGAATTAAACCCAAACATTACACCTACTAAGGGTGTGCCTCATCCATTAGGCCAACCCCTTCGTCCTTAGCTTAACTGGTTATTTAAACTCCGGCAAAATACAAATCTTTCAGCTTTTTAGAAGTCCAATTACCTTTTAAATTTGAAACTGTGAATAATAAACAATTAAAAATAATAGCGTAGGAAGACAATTCAAGACCCATGTCACAGAGAGAGAGAGAGAGAGAGAGCTGAAAATTTTAAGCCACATACCTTTAAAGAGCAGCACATAATAGCATCTGTGTGATGCCAAAGGGTTTTGAGGGTGGTTTCACTTCCTTCACTGCCTGACTTGAGAAGCTCTACTCCCAAATAACACCTGTCAAGAAAGAAAGAACACACCAAGGACCAGTGAGAGCAAAAAAATTTATTTTAAGCCCCCAAAAAGACCAAGTGCTACACTTCGGGACAACGGAATTCAAAAACTAGATTTATAAAACTCCTCTTGATTTGACCTATTAAATAGAGTATGCAAAGTTCAGAAATTTTGTTTTCATTGGCATCCATCTAAGAACACACTATTACAATCTAATCCAATAATGCCACAAGGAAGATATAAAACTTCAAACATCAAAGTCATGCTCCACTGTACCTTGAAACATTAGTTACTTGTACCGTAATAAACCTTACAAATTGAAACATAAAACTTCACAAAAGCAGCACAAAAAGAAGCAATAAACGGGAATCAGTGACATGTGAAATCCCTCTATGCAATTTGAAGTAAGAAAAACTGTTTTTTGAAAAGTTCACAAAACAAGCTGCATTTCAAAATTATCAATCAATTAAGCCCTTCCCAATAAAGAGAGAAAACAACATTACAGGGCAATAAAGATAACATAAATTAGCAAATTATAACTTGACTTTAAATCTCTTTGGTTGTCATTGTCCATATGGATTTAGAGCCAACTGATTCAGCTTTTATGTAATACAAATCTAAATAAAACAACTTGTGTAACACACCTGTAACTGTGGCAGATCCACTGGGCAAGCGTATTTGCTTCAGGAGTACCCAACGGAGGCCGAAGACCACCATGGGAACTTAGATGAGACGGAGAGAGTGCTAATGCCACCCTCTGAACAGATGATATAATGCTGCGCACGTACTGCCGAGCCATTGATGCTACACTTTCTTGCATGTGGCTCTCAAATGCAAATTCAAATGCTATTGTCATCACAGATCTTGTACTGCCACCATTAGAAGTATAATCATTAGATGCTTTATTTCCAGCCGGTCCAATCTCGAGAGCAGAAGCAAGGTCAAGGGTACGATTTGGACTGGAAGCTTCCTACAAAATGTCCCAGTTCATCAAATAAATGAAAGTCCAAAGAAGAGTTTAAAGTAGAGAAAAAAAGAGAAAGAATGACAACAGAATACAGCAACTATAACGTAATTCTAGATGCTGACCTTCCCAGAATCGAGAGGAATGATGCGAAAACCAGAAGGCAAAAGAGGTGCATCATCAGCAAAAGAGGCATCAATAGGAGCAAATATAAGTTCAGCACAGGTGCCAACAGCATTCTCATCCATTCCGCTGCATAGCTGTTAGGAAAGTATAAACGACATTAAGCAAGAACATTGGGGCCATAAAAAGTAATGGATAAAAAAAAGACACAGGACTTTGTAAAAATGAACTGGTAGTAACATTTAAAAAAATTTAAAATATCCCCATTACAAAAAAAAATTCTGTGAAGATATGAACCAAAACTTTAGGCTTGTTGGGGGGAACATGCCCACAGACCGTGATAATTCATGCATTAAATATATAACAAAAGATATGCAGAACCAAAACTTTAGGCTTGTTGGGGCAACAGACAACGATATGAAGAACCAAAACTTACTTGCAAGAGAAACATGTCTCTAGGCATTATTGCATCTTCAGGACAATGTCCAACACCTTCCAGCTTAATGACCTCCAATAACTAATATCCATGAAATGAAATGTACAATCTATGTCAAAATTCCAAGTAAATATTCAAAATTTTGGAATAGAAAATGAAGAAATCAAGATGAAATTACTTGCCTCTTCATGCTCAATAGTATGAGCCAGTGGCAGAATAACTTGACCTGAAAAGCTTCCAACTCTAGACCCTGGTAAGCTACAGGGACCGACTTTAACAGCTGCAGCTGAGTAAGCATCGATACTATTGTCTGCCCATTCTGACCTGTGCTCCCGCAGGAATCTAAGTAGTATTGCAGGGGGCACATTCTGAAATATAGGAACAGTGTACAGCAAGATCAGATAAAGAAATGTTAAGCTCGAAATGAGAACATGAAAAGAGAGAACTAGTAGAAAAGGATTGGGCAAGACTTGCATTAATAGACCTATATACAACAATTATCTTAATTTACTTAACTTGCTAATATGTGAAATTTCATAACAATTGCTCTCCAGAACAAAGTGGAAAGCATTTGTTATCTTGGGATGCTTAATTTAACAATCTATTAATGGGCAAATTAATTATAGAACGAGCACTCTACATTTTTTTTTTTTAATAATTGTTTCCCATGGAATATTCAGACAAGTAAAACACTTGCAGTATGCTGACCTGCAAAAGCATTGACGCTTTCGCACACAAGACCGCATTGCTGACAGCTGGAAATCCACTAGCAAAGGTCAGATTTAGACCCATTAGTTTGTCAGGAGAAGAGTTCACAAGGATGGTGACATCATCCATGCCATCATTTCCTATCATAGACCACCCCTCATCAGTAAACCCATTAAGAGCCTCATTGAAACCCCTGCCAGGACGCAAAAAAATAAAAATAAAAAATCAGTTTCATTTCAAGGCAGCAGAAGATAACTATCATGTTAACTTGATGATGTTCAAGGAGTAAAATATATCAACCTGCTCAACCTCTGGCTAAGTGCTCGTAGAGCTGCAGGTCTTCTGCCCCAGTTGGTGGCATTAGACTGAGAAACCTCCTGAGCTATCTGCCTCAGTTGGCGAAGAGCCTGTATGAAAAGGAGGGATGTCATCAAAGATATCAGAGTAAAACCCTCACTTAGATTATTGAATATGCATGGGGAAGTAAAATTAAAAGTCTTACAGCCATTGTTGTCTTCTGAGCAAGTACAGTTGATGATTCATACAATGGCCGCAACACTTCAGGAACACTCCATGCCTGATCAACGATACATGACAAAATTAATAGGATAAAAAAATTTCAAATAATTAGGGGAATGAAATTTGGTTACACATCGCATGGTGACTTGTTTACCTCCAAGCTCATATGATCAACAATGTGGATGATTGAGCCACCCCCTTCACAAGGTCTAATCAGGTACCCACTCGGCAGCATTTCTGCTCTCACAAAATTCGGAACTGGTGGCATGCTTGGACCATTTTGAGTATTACTAAGTGATCTTTCACACACCTGAGTATTTCATTAGGGCCATTCAACAACAAAAAGGTGATTGGTTGGAGACCCAAGCAGCAGACTAGGAACAATAGCTAGATGGACTACAATTGAATAAACATTGAATTAATAAACTTGAACCACTTACCACGAGACTGCCATCCTCCATAACAGAAGTATAGCGTAACAAGCAGAAATCACGAGCAGGTGCCAAAGTTGTTGGCGCATAGAGCTAAGAAATCAGAAAATATTTCAAATTCCATCAAGCAGTCATATCATAACACAAGTACTCCATCATACAATATGAGAATAGAACAATTAATACTACCTGCATGTAAAGCAGCTCAATGGTTCCACCATTAGCAGTAGGCAGCACATTTAGAACATCCACAGCTCGGCAATCGCGATACCACGAAGGCCGATCCTTAAGGATTTCTGCAACCTGGAAGTAGCGAAGCATAACCGATAAATGCTTCACATAAACTCCACAACTACTACAAAAAAGAAGAAAGAAGGGGGAGACTATCGTACCCTTGTAGGCTCTAAACCCACCAGGCCGCAAGCACGCGCTGCCACACCAGTGCAACCATGAGAAATAGCAACGATTCCAATGGAATCCGGACCAGGCTAAGCATAAAAGAAAGCAGTTTGTTCAGAAAGAGACCAATCATCAACTCGGTTTTTAACATAACAAATGGCATTATTAACCCTGTCAATACCATGAGTAAATACAAAACAAAAAAGCTAGGGACCCAGACATATCCACCTAGAAAATTATGAATGAGTGATTGTGGGGTGGAATTTTTTTAGGGTAGGGTTCATATATAGAATACATTTCAACCACAAAATGATAATTATGGGTAATTTTTGGATAGTTAAATCTAGGTTTGTAATATTATTGAATACAAAATTAAAATGGGCAAATCAAATTTTCTTGTAAAACCAGACGAGCATGGTTTTAAATAACAGTATTGAAATATATATCAATATCGGTGATACGGTTATATATCAATTAATACCAAATACTATCAACCTATATATTGATATATAGCAGTATCAGAGGTCTAACTCTAGATACGTGCCATATTTAAAACCCTGTTGGGAAGTGTCTCAAATGTTATCACTGTGTTTTGTACTATACTTGACATGAAAAGATCAATTTAATTATTTTTACCTCTCAATGCCACCAATACTGATTAATTTGTTTGAAATACAAAATAAAATAATAATGCAGGTATTTCTAATAAAAGATAGTATATTATTCCAAAGTTACAGCCATACCTTCATTCCAGGCATTTGGACCCACTCTACAGCGGTTCCAGTGGCCTTTGAAAGAAACTCTGTTAAAGTCTCTTCTGCAATGGACAAAAGCCTGGAATAAAAACACACAAGCATACAAATTAATATGCCAACACACAAAACATAGTGACCACAGCTCACAATAACGAGAAAATGACCCAACAACCATATATCCCCACTAACCCTGCAGGACTAGCATCCCTTGGCGGATGCTGCGGCGTCAAGTGGTGTTGACCACTCGTCACCACCGACTCACAACTAGTGTCTTTGGTTGCTAGTGTCGTCTGCAACGAAAACAACCCTTCTTTTATCTCAATATCCATCAAAATTAGATTTAAAACAATATTGGATAATAATTTATAGTCCAATTAGTTAAAAATTAGGATTAACAGGAACAAAAAAAAAAATACTCACATTCTGCGTATGTTGGCGAAAGTAGCCATTTTCATACACCAGATGAGACACCTGCTTCTGCAACCTATCATTCTCTTCCATTAAAAGCTTGTTCATGGCGGTCAGTTTCCTATTCACAGCTTGAAGCCGTGAAGCCTCTTTCCTCTGCTTCTCTCTGCATCTGTAGATAACACCAAGATCATCAAGAATACAAAAAATCAGTACTACCCACAACAATGCAACAAGAAATGTATAAAACCCAGAAAAAATTTCAATCTGATTGACTCATGAAACAGCACTTCCATTCAAAAATCTTGTTTTTCCTCAAGTTCCCTTATCAATCAAAACACAAAAATTACTGAGAGAGAGAGAGAGAGAGATCATACCTTCTGTTCTGAAACCAAACTTTGATTTGTTTGGGCTCGATGTTGGAGAGGATAGGGCATTCGCGGATGAGTTGTTGCCGACGAGTCGAACTGGGTTTGGGGCAATCATGATAGAGCCTCTCAAGGGCTTCGACCTGCTCAGGTGTGTAACGGACATATTTCCCATTGTCCATCACTGCTGTCTTACCATCCTTGCAGGACATTGCCATCATCACTTCAAACTCAAAAAACACTTTCCAAAAACACAAGTACCTTAATCTTCTCTCCTTCTTCTTCTTCAGAACAAACCCACAAACTTTAGAACTAGCACAAACCCATCACTGTCTCAGTCAAAGCAGACAAATGAACTCTAAAAAACAAGTATTTGAAGAGAATGTCTCACTGGGTTTTCAGGTCGTTTGGGTTTATAATACTATATTAAATCGATCACGAAATGCAAGACAACTGATTACCCAACTGAAACGTTGCTAATCCTTCGTTTTCCCGCAATATGAAACAGCTCCAAACACAAGAAATTTTGAAATCTTTCGAATTCAGCGCTTTTGAAACCAACAGAGATCACCAAAGATCGAAACTTTATCAAGCGTTTCCTCAAAACAACACTAAAAAAAGCATTCGCAATCACAAACTCTGCTCTCAATGTCCCATTCCTCAAAAACCCAGATCACAAACTTCTTGTATTTTTCTCACTCAGACGATTCGAATCCGAAAAAACCCAAAAAACACTTTCGAGGAATCAAAGCACGAACTCTTGAAACTGAGGAAAAAGATGCTAAAAAATGAAGATTTATCGCAAGATCGGAGCTATGAGTCTTACGCTGAGAACCCAAATCGAACGAAGCAAACAAACATCGATCTTCATACTTATCCTGAAGATTCCCCTGCTGCTAAATCGTTCCAAGTCGCTGAAACATTTTCACACGAACACATAAATGTACAAAAACACATACACAAATATGAATATTTTAAAGATCTTTTAAAGATGGTGATTCTCTGATATTTTTATTGGGTTTGGAGAGAGAGAGAGAGAGTGAGTGAACAGAAAAACCCTAATTCTGAGACAGAGGAGGAAAGTGAGTGCTTTTTCGCTGTTGCTTTGTTGGGTTTTGGTGTGTATTGGTTTCATGTGTGTAATGGTGTGTGTGTTTTGCCATTGGCTCGTCACTTTCGGATTTCAGAGAGGTCTTCTTCACTACTCTCTTCTCTTCTACTGTTGCAGAACCTAAAATTAACTTCTTCTTTTTTTTTGAATGACACAGTGTCAGGACTAAACTGCCCTTTGGTATCACTGGAACCCTATGACCTTAAAAGTTTGGGAATTTGCAATTGCTGCCATTGGTAGGTACTAGGTAGGTTACTTGAATTTTTATTTATTTATTTTTATGAATTTGATGTTCAAACCAGTTTACACCCAACTCAAATCTCCTCCTCGATCTAGTTAAAGGCAAGTCATTTATGTGGAGATCACAAAAAATTTTGTATTGGTTAAGGTGTCGTATGATAAGTGATTTTTTTTTAATTAGAAAGTTAAAAATTTATTAAAAAAATTAAAAAATTAATAATTTATATCAAAAAGTTAAAAATTTTATTTTATCTCTATTTTTTACATATCTTTTCATAAAAAATTAAAAAATCATCTCAATATTTTTTTTTATCTCACATTTTAGCCAAATAGTTACTAGAAAAACATGTTTCCAAACGAGGCCTAAGTCTTATTTGGTAAGTGTTTTTTTAATGTAAAAGTTAAAAAATTATTAAAAAATCAAAAAATTTATAATTTATACTAAAAAATTAAAAATTCTATTTTTTCTTTATTTATTTCACATTTTTACATAAAAAATTAAATATTCATTCCAAACATACTAATTTTTTTACCTCATATTTTAGTCAAAAATCTATAAAACTACTAGAATAGTATGTTCCCAAATGAGACCTTAAATCACATAAAAGTATACAAATTATTCAATCTTCTCAAAATATTATGTTATTATGGACTTGTTTGGTATACCTTATTATAAGTTAAAAAATGATTATAAAAAAATAAAAATGAAAAACACTCTCTAGCTTTAGCTTTAGCTTTTAGATTAGGGAGGTAGGAAAAAACAAAAAAATCGACCAAATCGGTTAAACTGAGACAAACTGGTCATATTTGGTCACTTTTTTAACATAAATCGATCTGTGTGGTTTTTATTTATTTTTATTTTTTTTGTTTTGATTTTCGATACAGTACTGCTTTAGACACCTTTGCACTAAATTAAACCGAAATTGACCTAAAATTTCGCATATTAAACATAATATATATTAAATATATAATGAAATTGGTTAAGTACAAAATTCAGTTGATTCAATTGATTCACTTAATTATTTATTTTTTCTTAAATATTTCAAATTGGACAATAGATATTGGCAATGTGATAAGTTGTTAGTTTGCCATTCATATGTATTTGAGTCAAGTTTTGCTACTATTATGCCTATATAGCTATATCAGATGATTATGTCGTTTTTAATTTTTTGTCATAAGTCTACTTGATGAACTGATTTTATGGGATGTGATAGTTTTAAATTTTGGTTTTGCTTTGTGTCAAGACTTTAGTTTTCAAATTATATTTTGTTTCTAATTCAACTTCAGTAAAAGTTTAAACACTTTAGTATATTTATTAATTCTTTTGTTTGTATTTTTATTAATGATTGGATTGGATATTGAAATAATGTACAAATGACTAATTTATTATTTTTATATAAATTATTTACTATACTACAAATGTTAAGATGTAACTTAGATTTGAAAGGTCCTAAATCGAAAATTGCACCATGTCGAATCATTTGAATTGACGTAGTTTAGTTAAAATTTCAATCTGTATCGGCTCTTAATATAATAAAACTAACATTATCATTTAGGTGAAATTTGGTGTAAAAATTCACCTAAACACTAACCATCCCAAACCAATTACATCCCTATTTTTGATAATGAGTTGAAGTTGTACTACTCATTTGTACTTTTATGTAGTTTGAAATTTACTGTTGAAGCAAAAAAATAAAATAAAAAATAAGTTAGTTTAATGGCTTATTAATTTATTTTGATCATATTACCTCTCTATTTGTTTTTATTTTTTTTCATAATAAGTTAAAAAGTCAACTTATAAGTCACTTCCCAAAACAATCTTCATTTGAAAATAACTACTGCTACTCATTTGTACTATACAATTTGATACGGACTTTCAAATTAATTAAGTTATAAGTAACTCATTTAAACTGTATCAAACAATCAATGTGTATCTAACCATACTCTTTTCTTAGTATGTATATAGGCTTTCTTTGAGAATTTGCTTAAAAAATTAGTTTTTTGAATAAAAATACACCAAAAATGTTGGTATTAAAAATGAGATTAGTTTATTATCTATAAGGTTAGACTAAGTTTAGCACCAAAATAACCTTGGCCCAGACACTCGTGTAGTCTTGCCCAAGCTACTTGACGTTGGTCGATAAAGAGGGCAAATCTCAGATTGAGGCTTCGTTTGGGAACCACGCCATTTAGTTAAAAAGTCAAAAAAAATATTTAAAAAGTCAAAAAATCAATAATTTGTACAAAAAAGTCAAAGATTCTCTTTGCTATTTACTTTTTGCACATTTTTTCGTAAAAAATTAAAAAGTCATCCGAAACATACTAGTTTTTTTTAGTTCATATTTTAGCCAAATAGCCAAAAAATTACTAAGGCCAAGTTTGGGAAGACTAAAAAAGTGCACTTTTTGTCTTAATGAGATTAGTTTATTATCTATAAGGTTAGACTAAGTTTAGCACCAAAATAACCTTGGCCCAGACACTCGTGTAGTCTTGCCCAAGCTACTTGACGTTGGTCGATAAAGAGGGCAAATCTCAGATTGAGGCCTCGTTTGGGAACCACCCCATTTAGTTAAAAAGTTAAAAAAAATATTTAAAAAGTCAAAAAATCAACAATCTGTACAAAAAAGTCAAAAATTTTCTTTTCTATTACTTTTTGCACATTTTTTCGTAAAAAATTAAAAAGTCATCCGAAACATACTAGTTTTTTTTAGCTCATATTTTAGTCAAATAGCCAAAAAATTACTAAATTAGCATGTTTCCAAACGAGGCCTGAGTGTTGGTACAAGGCAAAAGAAATGGCCTACTTAGGCACTGTTTGGAAAGTGGCAAATGAGGCTATTATAGCCTCAAATGAGATATAAGCCAAAAAACACACTTTTCGTTCTTTTTTATTAAAAAATAAAATAAAATAAAATAAAAATAGGTTCACTGCTGTGAGCCTACACTGTCAAAGTGACAAGTTGTTGCATCACGTGAGAAATTATGATTTTGCCCCTTCTCATCAATTTAAAAATATATAATTTTAGGGACAAATTTGTCATTTTAACTTCAAACATCATTTCAACACATTTTTCAATACAACAACTCAAATAAAATCCATCTCATCTTCCCAAACACAAAAACTAAAATAGTCTACTAAAATAATCAAAGTCAAATAACTTACTAAAATAGTCACTTCTCAAACGAGGCCTTAGATTGAGTCGAATACTTTACTAGTAATTTTAATAATGAATATATCAAGTTTAAAAAAATGTCAATTAAATAGATGAACAACTTAATAAAACTCACTCATTTGAATGCACACAAAATAAGAAGTTTTAAGTAAGTTTTAAGTTTAATATAAGAAGATTTTTTCACATGAGATAACAAATTACTTCACATACATTTTGACTAACAAAATGATTATGATCTGATTATGAAACAAATGAGTAGTAGTTATTTTCAAGTGGTGGAGGAAAATTTTAAATGGTAAAAGGGGGAAATGGAGGGAAGATGGCAAAAGGGATTAAAAAAGGAAGAGCAAGGGGTATTATGGGAAGAAAAATGAGCGAATGAGGAGCATGAGAAAAAGTGGAGGGGCATGGGAAGGTTTGCGTGGGACACAGAGGACAGAATGATGAGTGTTTTGCATGCGTCTCTCGATTCTATCTACCCTCCCCCCTATTTTTATTTATTTTTATTTTTTTGTTTATGTAGTTTATTTCATATAATAATAACATAAAAGAGTAAAAATAAGGGCTAGGGCTAAGTTTCATCATAATGATCACACCAATACAAACATGTCATAAAATTTGTATATATATGGTTTAAATTTAATATTTTATTTTATTAATTATTTTAAATTTTTTCGAACCCTATAGATATATGAGGTGTATCGTGACATGGGGATTGGCTCTGCAGCATAACATACTCACATATTATGACATGACATGACCCTTATGAGTGACATGGATCATATACAATAATAGGATGGGATGGGAAAAATGTCTCGTAGCTCATATTTTGTGGTTCAAAAGTGGCTTAAATGGCCAAAACGACGTCGTTTTGGCCATTTTTACGTTGTTCTGTACTCAAAACGACGTCGTTTTGGCCATTTGAACTATTTTTGAGCTACAAAATTTGAGCTACGTAGCATTGTCAGATGGGATGGGATGGTGGGTTGAGATGTAATGTGATTGTGGGGACAGAGTACTGCTTCTCTGGTTGGCAGGCCTTGTCGTTTGGAATATATGTCCTCTGCCCTTCAAATATATGTGCCTCTTAGGATTTGGGTTACTGCTGAGGCTTAAGGTTCAATTTTAAATTCTTTTTTAACAATCAAGGTGGGTGATATTATATTATGGTTAAGGTTTGAGATTTAAGTTTCAAGGTTACAAGTTTAAATTTTTTTTTGAGCTAATTTCTTGGGCGAAGCACAGTTGATTAAGAGGTTGGAAGCAGAGCTTGTCTTAAGAGGTTGGGACAAATTTTATTTTATAGAGTTTGTTAAGTATTTTATGAGCTCGTTTGAAATGTGGATTAAATTTTTAATTATTTTAATTTAAGACTAAAAAGTCTTGTTTTGAATAATTTTTTTGATTTTTGATTTCTTTTTTAAAGAAAAAATGAAATAATTATAGGTTGAATGTAACATTTTGTTTTATTTGACTAAAATAACTTATTTTTAGGAAGACTTTTTTATAAGTCATTTTTCAAACACTTATAGTAGGATAAGTCCTATGTAATTTCTTATAGAGTCTCAAGTCCTATTTAGATAGGAATGTATTCTACAAGATTCTACATAAACGTAATGTGACGTGATACTTACATAAACGCAACGTAACGTGACACCTATATAAACGTAACGTAACGTGACACCTATA